TCTTAATGGCTAGCTAGTCCATCCATAGTTTCTTACAATAGCCTAGCTTGCGAACCATTGAATTCAGATCTGAACTCATTCAACGTCAGCAGATATTCCTTACATATGTTTCCATCTAAATTCAATTCCAACTGAACCACTTCTTCAGAACTGCTGAGTATGCCATATATCTTCTTAGAGATGAATGAAATAAAACATGAGTAGAAGAATTAGGAATTATTTTATTATCTGTTAGTCTTTTGCCCAGTTTGCTCAGTATGAGATTTTCACTGAAATTAAGTGGGATATTCTTCATACAAAGCACACTAAGCAACTTTCCATGAATTTAAAGAGAAAATATCTTAATAAGAAAAATCTTGATAAAACCATTATAATTTAACAGAAAGTCAAGCCTCATTGAAAATACAGTAGTGGAACTTTTGAGTAAAAATACTGTAAATTATATTTGTAGCCACCCATGTACAATGTAATAATTTCTTGTGCATATAAAGTTGCACTGTATTATTTAACAATTTTGGAAAAATATTAAATGTGCTTATTAGCAACATGTAGTAAAATATCTGAGTGATAACTGCCATAAGTTCCCTGTGTGTATATATATATATAGCAAATGTACTATTTTTTTACACCTGTAGAAATTCTTCAAAAGAGATGTTTTAGAACATGTAGAATTACTTTAAAAAAAGCTTTATAACAATTAAAACTCTTGGGAATTTTAAGACTTGCACAATCCTACTAATCTGTAAAGTCCATGGATAAAAAAGTAGGGATGTTTTTATTGGCCTGGCAAGGGGAAAAAGGCAAAAAAAGAAAAAAAAACTGATTAAGATAATTCCTAAAGAAAAAGAGTCATGCTGGGAAGGGAAAAGAATAAAAAGACAAAAGTCAAATTAAAATAAAGAAAAAGTGTGTACAAGAGATGCACATGATAATACTACTTTCAATACCTGAACAGCTACAACTCATACAAGAAAGCAAAGGATGCTACTGTTTCAACTAGGCTTGATGAGTTTGCTTGAACATTGGCAGAAAGCTGTTAATAGTAGAACAATGGGACAAAAAAATGGGACAATAGGACAAACAATGGGACAAAAAATTAACAGAATGAAGTGTCACCTCATCTGCAGATCTTCAAGCAAAGGTTGTACAGTTTAGCTCTCAGTTCCTGAACTGGGCAAGAGGTAGAATAGATGGCAGTTACGAGCCTCTTCCAACTCTGATTCAATGTTTGAAGGGCAAGTGGGTATGCTAAAATGTCTATGAACCTACTGGAACAATTGCCCGATTAAGGGATATTAAAGAAGTATTCTTGGTTTATGCATTAATTAATCCATAATTCTACTTTTAAAAAGTATATCTTATTTCTTAGTTGAAATACATAAATTGAACCAGGCATAAAAATATTATATAAAGCAATATTATGTAAAGCAACAAAAATAAGGCAAGAGAGATTAGGTTTTATTTTTTGTTTCTACACAATTCTCTGCCACCAAACAAAAAAGAAAAAAAAAGAACTATAGAAAATAAAAGAGAGGTGCAATAGAACACATATTATCAAAGTAATACTTTACTTCAGCCTTTTTATGCTAAGCGGAAACTAATTAAACTAATTAAACCTTCATCAGTTCAGTGAAGGTTTAGGAGACTTTTTGTCTTAGTAGATATCACAGAACAGAGGAACAATAGCCTTTCCCCTCTCTCAAAATGACCCGTTTTCAAAATATCACATCCTCCTACCACAATGAGATTTTAGATTTTAAAATCCATAAAGGCTAAAGCTTGTGAGGCAATGTGTATGCCCAATCAGCAGACTGAAGTTAAAAATTTTATCCTTTCCATACTGGGAAAAACCCAGAGAATTGCAGAGGAAACCATGTTCTATAAAGAAAACAATCTAGATTACAACCAAAACCTCATGCTAACAAATGAAACTATAGGAAGGTCATAAAACCAGAAGCCAATATTTATGTATAAGGGAATTTTAATGTTATAAGTAATGTTTATATGTGTGTTTTTGAGGGTGTTTATAAAGAATGATGGATAAATTTTAAATAATATAAGTATTATATTAGAAAATGTTCAGAGTATTTTATAATGTGTCTAATGATTGTGATTTGATGACAAAGAAAGAGGGATAGATTTTATATAATATAAGTATGATATTATGGAGATTGAATGAAAATTCTAGATAAGTAGTGTATTTCTAGATATAAATTTTTTATATATATATATTGGTCTTAAAGTATTTTATAATTTGTTTAATTATTGTAATTAATTGCTTATGGTTTACACGTGTTTAATTTTTTTTTAAGTTTTAATTAAGCCTATATTCAGCTCTGGGAAGGTTGGGGGAGGGTTGGGGTGGGTGGGGAGGGTTTGGGGAGGGGGATTTTCCTTTTTTCTTCTGTAAAACTTCAAAAAACTTTTAATAAAAACAAAAACAAAACAAAACAAAACCCAGAAGCCAATATTATCTTGAGTTTTGGAAGATCGGGAGAAATAACCATTAGGTTCCTAAACTGTAAGGACCAAGAAATAGCAAAAAGAAATGGAAAAACTGAGATCAATTTTACCTTAAATGCTTCCCAGCCCCTCAAGTAATTTTCAGCTAATTTCAGACTTGGACATGAACACATCATAAATAAGAACTACAGTATGCCAGTTCTGATAACTTGGAAGTGTTAGTTTGAAACAAAGATAACCATATTCTTTATACAAAAATAGACTCTTCATGCCTAAAATAATAAACATTGGCTACATGCATGAAAAAAGCTATGAAATGAATATTAGAAATAGAATATTTGCTCAAAAAGTAAAGTAAATGAAAGCTACAAAACTTTGTATGAAAATTAGGACACACTATTTACAGTGGGTTTAAAATAAGAAATATTTGGAAGATTTTGAATAGTGAAGTTTTTTATTTCACTATAAAGAGTAAGTAATATATCAATTTTCATACAATCCAGTTTTTGCATAGATGGTCTATATTTTAACAAGAGCCAATATTAAAAATTACATTAATTATACTGTACCACATAAGTATTAAAGATCCTTCTGTAGTAACAAATTTCTTACAATAAACAAGCATGTTACGTTCTGCATTAAGCCAATGATTGTGCTGATATATTTCTCTTTTACTTGTTAAAAATCAGTTGTGAGAACTCTTGATGTGACATAATAAAAGAGAGTTGAATCCTTTGCCTCTTTATGTGATTCTGATTCAATTTAGAATTATATACATAAAAATTTTCTTCCGTATTGATCTCATCTCTAAAGTTTGGTCACAGGCCAAACTTCCTATGCCCCAAAGAATACTATTTTTTCACAAGAGAAAGTATTTCTCTTCTGTGTCTCATGATATTGTTTCCAAATACAGATCTGATGTGCGGTTTTTAACATGTCTGCTTTCTAAATAGCAATATTTAATTATCCTACAGTAGACTGCTATATTGAGTACTATTTATACACAAATATATTCAAAGTTCTTTTATTTCATCCATAAGTCATAAAATTTTAAAGATATAAACAAAAGAAAGAAATCATAAAAAATTATGATGAAACTTAGTTCATTAAATAACAAATTATATATAAATCCTAAAAAAATTCCAAACTTCCAGATAATTGCCTACCCGAATAGTTTCATATTAGATATCTCTAAATATTTAGACAGGGATATATTATGGCTTTAAAGGCAACAAGTCCAAAGCCCAAACTCAACTATTAATGTTGTGAAATATATCTTAGTTTAAGGTCTTGCAACTTTGAAGATTCCTTACACTGTAGAACACCATCAGCAAGTGCTATATGCAGTGTTTTTCCTTTCTTTTTCTATTCTTCCAAGCCCCAAAGACCATGTAAGGAAACAATCATATCTTTGTAAATATGCTTTACTGTCCACCCAACTCTTCAACTTCGAAGAAAGACAGAAAGAAAGAAAGGAAGAAAAAGAAAGAAAGAAAGAAAGAAAGAAAGAAAGAAAGAAAGAAAGAAAGAAAGAAAGAAAGAAAGAAAGAAAGAAGCTATTGCTGTCTCTTATTGCCTGGTGAAATAAAGAACAGAAAGCTAAGATTCTGTGTGCCAGAAAAAAAAATATGGGATGTTTGTTGGAAAATAAAGGTGAAAACCTTAAAAATGAAAAAAAAAAAAAATCCAAACTACCTTTTCCAATTCGGCAGCATAATTGTGAAGATGTTCCCTGGCTATACTAAGTTCTGATGTATGAAAGTGAGTCATCTGAATGTCATCCATAGTGATAATCCACAATCCATGAACATTCAGAATTGTCATATATATTTTAAATAGCATGATAGATAAAATTATAAGCTCTGAATAACACAGTAACAAAAAATCAATGACATTTAGCATGAAAGTGGTTAGCAATACAGAACCAAAATAACTAAATAACTATAAATAGATTGAAATGTGTCCAAGACATCAGTAACGTTAGATACAGAACTCATCCCTCACCATCTGCTTGTCCTCTCCAAGCCATTTCATTCTGTGCATAACAATAAAGGAGAGTATTGTTTGTGTTGTTAGTAAGAACTGATTCGCATACATTTCTTACCACAGAAAGCTCTGTTCTAAAAAAAAAGGCGTGTTACAAGTACTTTCTTAGCTAATATTAAGTAACTCACTTTACTTGAAACACTGTTATGTTTATAGTGAAATGCAAATGACTTATTTGCCACAGACTAAATACTAATCATATGCCCACATTCTCCCACATTGAAGAAAATGTGTACATTGGGCATCAGTTAACATATATGAAACAGGCATCATATGTGCAACATAAGACTTTCATGTTCACCCTAACCACAATGAATTTCAAGTTCACTTGTTCACTTGCTAAGTATTTAAAAGTCTGTCTCATATAAAAAGTTTTTTTTACACATATTCCTCCAATGGCCATAAGAAACAAGAATAATTTATGTATGCAAAACTATTGTTACACATTATAATGCTGTAAAAACTATATAAAGCATAGCATGGCATATTACCTTATATACATGGATAGGGATATCTATGATGATGTAGATGAGATCTCCCAAGGCCAGACTAGCTATCAGTGCATTGGGTCCATTCCTCATGCATTTGTTCTGGTAGATTATCCGCAGAAGAGTTGCATTTCCGACAAGCCCAATGATGAATACCGCACAAGAAATTACTGTATTGATATATTTAAAAGTATTATCTATTTTGGGACGGCTTGTACAATTACTCTTGTTAGTGTTGGGTTGACTGGCAGGAATAATTAATTTATCTTCCATTTCTATGGCAGAGGTTCCAGAGTCATTCAGGCTGGAAAAGTCTCTTTCTGAACCTTCACTGATGACAGATCCAGTTGCAAAAAGTGCCAAGGTTATCCAAAAATGAAACGTTTCCATTTTTTTAAATCCTCAAAATCAAGAAAATATGTTTTACTTAAAAACCTACAAAGAAAAATAATGTTTATGTTGTAGTACTAGCACTATAATCAAAGCTTCTATTCGGTTAAACAAAAAGAGACATGTTTTTATTTTTAAAATAGATAATCAGAAAACAAAATGTCAAGCACAGGAAATCAAAAATCTAGGCAGTTGAAATGAATATATAGCTTTATTGCAAGATATATGAATATATAGCTTTTTTCAAGAATCTGAATTACAAAGTCCTCAACTTACCACAGTACATTTAGTGACTGTTCAAAGTTACACTGGCACTGACTTATGACCATTTTTCAGACTTACAACTGTTGCAGCATCCCCATGGCCACATGATCAAAATTCAGATGCTTGGCAACTGACTTATATTTATGATGGTTGCAGTGTCCCAGGGACATCATGGGATTACCTTTTGTGAATTTCTTACAAGCGAAGTAAATGGGAAAGCCAGATTCACTTAACAATGGTGTTACTAACTTACAACTGCAGTGATTCACTTAACAATTGTGGCAAGAAAGGTAGTAAAATGGAGCAACATTAACAAATGTTCTGTTTAGGAACAGAAATTTGGGGCTCAATTGTGGTCTTAAGTCAAGAACTACCTGTATTAACAATCAAAGCAAATTGGAGGTAGATAAGACTCAACACAATTCAAGGTGGACTTGACTTAAATCTCTTGTGGGTGTGGAACTTGAGACTGATGAGTTGGTCTGACACCTCCCTCAGGCTCAGCCTGGTCAACTTCTATACAAAATCCTATATTCTTTCTAAAGAGTGGGAATTAATCTTAGGTAAACATGCAGGACCTGGTTGGGTTATGTCCTGCCCTTTTCACCTTCATATTAGTCAATATCACAGGTGATTATGCCTTACTTCAGAGATATAAGGTCAAGTTCCAGAGCAATCTGTAGAAAGTGATGAATATAACACATGGAATAACTTTTATGTGACTCTAATCAGGGTTTTATGTTTGAATGGATCGTTTTAGTATATTACTAGCTTTACAATTTATGCTTCAGTGCCAATTGTTAGTACCTAAAGAAGCAAGAGAGAAAAATCTTTCCTGTTTCCTGACATTCACACACAACAGAAAAATTTTAATGTGATCAACTACCTTCCCTTCACCATTTCACTCTCTCTAACAATCCATGTTCTGAGCCACTGCATTTTGCATACTTCTGCAGAAATTTCCCTTGTCTTCCCTAATATCATCTAATTAATTGTTCCTTCTATTTGCCTGATCCATCATAATCTTGATATCCACAGTTACGGGCTCATATAGGAAGTAGTGTTTCTTTACTTATTCAAGCTCTTTGGACTGAAGTGGTAGGTGACTATTGTGATTTCTTTCCATTATTTGAACTCTGTAAGTACTGAAATATATGTATATCTTTTGTTTAAGACAGCTTTCTTCAACAGGGTATTGGGCTACAAGTCCCATAATCCCCAAACAGTATGTTATTTCTTAAATTCTGTGCTGCTGCAGTACTATTAACTAAAGAAAACTAAATAAGACTCAGTAAACTCCAGCTTTGGTTTACTTATGTAATTATAATACAATCCCATTTATGAGTATTCAGAATGACTGCTCACCTTGTGGCATTTGTTTCTAAGGCACCTTAAACTTAGAAATGCCTGCCATCTTAAACTGATTTCAAGCAGAAGTTAGGTTATCAGATGAAGGATGCAAATCTCATAAGGACTCTTAGGGAGCAACATCTACAATATTGACACTATGCAATTACATACTTGTGTCACAACATCTGATATAATATATAAATCATGGTATTTGTGTTTTGACACAACACATTACATCCTTAGTTCCTTTCTGCCTATGCCACTGGATGGCAGAAAAGTTTTTCTATGTACTGCCATCTAATGGTTATCTATATCTTTTCAACAATGATCTGTTGTTTAAATTATTGTTTCTTAGACTTACACCACAGATTTTCTCAGCAGCACCAGATATTACAGTGTATTTTATACTCCAATTTTACCACGCAACTACCCAGTGAGGCAGATAGACTGACAGAGAGTGACTGGACAAAAGTCCCTCAGTGAGCTTCCATGGCTGAGGAGACTTGAATTTCTTAATCAACACATTGGTTGTATTTTCATTTGGCTGAGTTCTCTTGGCTTTAATAAAACCAAAATTAAACCAAAAAATAAAACCAAAATGTCTTAAAGATATTAAATTAGATTCAATAAAGATTACTTGACTTAAACCCCACTGAAATAAATGGATTTTAAGACATGACTATCTTGTCATAGTACACAGTACAGCTATATGTGCCTGCTTGGAACTTAATTTCTGAATGTTAGTTGTACCCATGTGTACACTGCAAAGAAAATTGGACTTTTTCTAATCTAACATTAATTTAATGTAATGAAATATTTCAGCAAAACCAATAATGACAGTGGTTGAAAATTGAATGATGTGATATTTACTGCTAAGTCAAAGATGCGCAACTCTGACAGCTGTAAATACTCAGCTACTCTTTTAGTAATATGTTGATGGTTGTACTTCAAAAGGTGTGGAGCAGGACTAGAGCAAAAACAAATTTCAAATGGATTTCATTTATACTTAAAGTGATTCAAACTGTAATCTACAAACTGTAATCTATAATTACCATCTAGTTGCTAGTTTATGCATTTCTGGATGTGGACTAAATTTGTATGTAAATTTTGGACTTCCATTCAAATTAAATAGATTTATTCTTTAGAACTAAAATACTGACTGATGTAAATCCAGGCACATGGGGGTTTTATTTGGCTAAGCAATGGGTTTATTTCTTTTTAAGTTTCTATAAACTCCAGAGTGCAAAGACATAATAAAGTTTTTTTTTGAATAAATATTTTTAAACACATAATACAGAAACTCATAGAACTCAAAAGACATTCACAAATCACATAATTTTTATCCTGTTCCAGTTTAAATGCCTAAGAGAAAAGAGATGTTAGAATCATTTTTTTTTTTACTTTTAAGAAGCTGGTTCATTTCAGAAAAAAAACATAAACCCCCTCCGCCCTCCCACCCATTTAATACACGAGAAAAAGAGCCTTCCAATTTGAAGAGAACTGAGATTGTTTTCCTTGAGAATTTCAGTACTTCAAGGTAAAAAGTTAACTGCGTGGCCAACCCGTGTCGGTTTCCGGATGCACTGTATTGCAACTCCCATTCCGCTGGCTGACTGAGATGGGATTTGTAGTACAATACTCCCAAGGGGTTCCAAGTTGGGGAAGGGCTAATTTGAAAGACCCATTCAGTTCAACATTATATTGTTCCGGGTGGACGTTGGATCTCAGCAGTGAGATCAAAGCCAGTCCGTCATGCCTGCATCCCCGCAGGTGGGCAACATAAGGTGTTGGGAAGGGGAGGAAGAAGCGGCTCAAAAAGCAGCGGCAGAAGAACTTTGGAGGGGGGGGGGAGAGATTACATAGCCTTTCTCCAGTTGTTCTGCGCTTCCCCACCCCCCGGCCAATACCAGCCTCTCTCGGCTCCTTGACACAAGTCAAGCCTACAGCTCTTCCCGAAGGTCGAATCTGGCCAGAAATCAGAAATTTCTGTTCTCCTAATTGCAGACAAAATAAAGACTTGAGTACGGTTAAGTGGGCGTAAGAGCTGCCTGCCTCTTTTACAGCTAAACCGACTCCAAGGCGGAACATTTCAACTCGGAGTTCTTCGGCTTAGCTGCTATGAGAAGAGCTCGTTTGCTTCACTATCTTTCCACAAAATAAAAAGAGGGGGCGGAGGCGGCATCCTCTGCTTTAGGCACTGCTTCTCCTCCGCCTTCCCATCTCGCGCCTCTCCCGGGCTGGCAAAATTAAAGCGCCGAAAGTTCGGCTCCAAGGGACGCCCGCTTTCCTTCAATACACCCACCGTTTGGTGCGTCCCGAAAGAGAAGCGCTCCCGCCGCGCAGGGAGACACGCGGCCGCTCCAGTCCGAGGCGGCGCGGGGAAAGTTCGGGCTCAAGGCGCGCAGCAGCGCAAGTTGACAGGAAGTGGCTTCTGGCGGCGTTTCCTCCAAAAAGACTTTGTAAAGCCTCCCGTCTCCGTCTGGCTGGCTGGCTTTGGGACTCTCCACCTCCACTGCTCGAAAGAGAGCGAGCGAGGGAGCGGCTGGATCAACCCCCTCCTCTCCCCCTCTCTAAATTTGGAAGGTTGGGGGGGGGGGGAGAGGGAATTCCTGTCAAAACCAAGTTGCTGCCAGAACTATAACCGAGCAACCGCATTCTGTTTCAACGGGTCGTGTGAACCCAGTTATGCGATGGCCGACTTTTTTTTTTTTTTTTGTTACCCTGGTCTATATGATGCGACCAGTCATAAATTGCTAGTACCACGGTGATCGCGCTATTATATATTACTGCAGTGATCAATTTTATTTTTCCATTAAGATGCCAATCACAGGTTTTTGTTAGTTCTCACCACATAATCATCAATGATCTCAAACATGCTATAATTAAAACAATTATACATTTCTATTGCATATATAAAGCCAGCCACTGTAGACTTTGTTTTTTCAATAGGCTGGATCTTCAACACTAGTAGAAAGGTTGTCAGGGCTGGGGCCATCCCAGTCTCCAGGGATATGCCATAGGGCAGATGCTGCTACACCTCCAAGAGTCCAACAGAAGAGATCTGGAGGATGCCTTCTTTATTAGTTCAGGAGAGATGAGAAGAAACAATAGGACAAAAGTGGTCCAGCAACTAGCCTGGCCCTATGCCATGAAAGCTGTATAGGTCATAACTGGCACCTGGAATTATACTTAGAAGCCTCGTGGGAATCAGTGCAGCTGATGGAGCATGAGCGTAATAAGAAGCACCAACAAATGTGTGGTACTGCATTCTGGACCAGCTTCAGCTTCCAAAGGGCAGCCCTATGAAGATCACATTACAGTAATCAAACATGAGGTAACTAAGGTATGAGTCATGAGCAAGAATCAAAAGTGGATGAGCACCCCACAATTCAGTGTCACTATCTCACCCCCTTTGGGAAACTTTTAAAAATATTATAAAGTTATTGATTAAACATTATTTTAAAGGATAATGATCATCTTCTGGACAAAAGTATCCTGTAGCTTTGTTATAACTTGATTTTCTATTTGTGTGAGTTTGTTTGTTTGTTTGATTGATTATCTGCCTTCAAGTCAATGTCAACTCTTACTGACCATACTGCATAGATTTTTTTCCACCACGATCTGTCTTTCCAGGTTTCCAGTGGTACACTCATTGCCATTGTAGCTGAGTCCATATTTACTTGGAATTAAATTTCCATGAAGTTAGTAAAGTTTATTCCCAAGCAAAGTATTATAGGTTAAAGTCTGCAGACTTATTCCATTGCAGTGCTGAATTCATTAAAGCTGTTTAATGTGGCACAGGTTCAATAATCATAGATCTGAACATATATAGGTTTTGATGGATTGTTTTATATTGGCTATTCTGCTGTCTTAAATGAAAACATCTGGGAAAACACATTCAAGTTTCTTATAATATTGCAGTGTTCTTACTTCATCCATCACTAAAAGACAATGAATTTTAAAAAGGACATGTAGAGATGTATAATATGGAAAATTAATGGTCCTACTAGTCAGCTTGGTCAGGTTATGTAACTAATGAATTAAATTACAAAGAATAAACATATTCCCCCCTTTCACGATAAAATTTTAACCCTCCTTATTTTCCCCCAAGAAAATATGTTTTCTTTTCTGAGTCACTAGGTCAGTGGTTCTCAACCTTTCTAATGCAGCGACCCCATAATACAGTTCCCCATGTTGTGGTGACCCCCAACCACTTATACATCACCGGGTGCCAGGGGCGTGGCCAAAGAAAAGGGGGGGAATGGCAGACAGCCTTGTTTGGCGACCCCTGTGAAATGGTCATTCGACCCCAAATGGGGTCCCGACCCACAGGTTGAGAACCACTGCACTAGGTAAAAGATCATTTTTTACAATGTCAGCTAACCATATCAAAAGAACAGACAGAAAAAGTTTACTGTATCTGCGTATAAGATCTCATTATGATGGCTGCAATGTTATTTTTTTATCTTCCAGCTTCAACTCCACCAGAAATGTATATATCAAATTCATATGAAGCTTTGCAGCAGCTCAGAACTGGACCACAGTTGCTTAATCACTTGACAATTCATATATTCGCATTAATAACATAAGAAAAGATATAGACTTTGGGCTTACAAGATGATTGTTAATTTTTTTTGTAGTGAATCTCTACATGTGATTATTTACATCTAACCTGGAAGCCTTCATTTGGCAAATGTATGAATGTTCATGAAGTTTTCCTACAGCAAACAAGCATTCCTTAAACATACAGACTGCCTCAGAGTGAAGGTTCGTTCTCCGAGGTTGTGGGTTGGTTTCTAAATGTTTCATTACTAGGCTAGGTAACATCTTCAGTGGAATAACATCCACTGAAGAAGCTCAGAGAAGGAATCTTCACCCTCATCCTATACCCGAGCTACAGATATTCACCTCTATTGGAAATATAGACTGCCTCTTCATCTGTGACTAAGAGAAGAGAGGATGGGAAGGTGACTATTCACGTGTTGGATTAAATATATGCCTGAATGGGGGCATTACAGAGTTTCTTAGAGATTCCTTAGTTGTCAGGTCTGCCATGTAAACACTTCAGCTTGCTTCACTTCACTAGCATCCTGCCATAAAATGAGATCATTTTATGGCCTCATTTTTTTGACCTCAAAGTGTTGCTCTCCTTTGATTAGGATAGGAGTTGGAGATGATTTAGTTGCAGGACGCAAGGGTGAAGTGATTGCCAGCTTTAACAAGCTACAGTGGTAAAGTGAGTGAATGTGTTTGAGGTTTTGGGGGCAAGTCTAATTGTACTGTTATAGGATTGATGATTTTAATTATGGGAAAGTATCCAGTGTACTTAGATCCAAGTTTCTTTGAGGGTTGTCTGGACTGGAGGTATTTGGTGGACAAATAGACTTTGTTCCCAATGTTAAAGTCCTTTGGCTTAGAGCGTTTTTTTGTCAACTTGTTTCTTGTATGTTTCATGTGCCTCCTCCAGGGCTTTGTGAACCACTGGCCAAGTGCTTTGAAGTTGAGCAATCCAGTCTGCCAGGGAAGTGTTCTGGGGGATGGTCTGTGGCAGTTCTGGAATGGCTATGAAGTCTTGGCCCATTGCCACTTAGAATAGTGAAAATCCGGTGCTGCTGTGGACTGCATCGTTATAAGCTATTTCCGTGAAGGGGAGGAGATCAGCCCAGTTGTTCTGGGAAGGGCAGTTCACTACTCTTCACATATTGGATTAAATGTATGCCTGGATCGAGGCCTCACAGAGTTGTTTAGAGATTCTTTAGGTTTGTTCTCTGGCTAATTGAATCTGGCAGTTCTGAAAGAAAATATTTTATTGGAGCCTATATTGTTATTTTGTCCTATTGCAAAGATGAGACACAAACCGCAAAAAAATTACTCTGGAATTACTCTTAGGAATTTAATCATGGCTGTAATCAAACCATTTCAGCCAGCAAAAAATGAAAAAGGCAGCCAGATTTTATTCTTCATTGTATCAATAAAGAAAGATATATGTAGTCCAGGGTTGAAATGAGGGGTCCTTGGTGCTCTCAAAACTTGGTTGTTTGCATCCGTTTCATTACCCAAACTAGGTAATAACATCATTGTTTTCTTGTGGTAATTGGGGATGAGAGACTGGGGGCAATGAAGATTTAGCAAAAGTAATTAAGGGGCCTTATTCATGTCTATATGTCTTTGAATTTAAAACAACTTTCAGAATGTAGCAGCAGCAGGTGATTTTTCCTTTTTCTTCCAGTTCTATGCATCTGTTGCTAGCTCAGGGCATTGGCTGCCTGTAATACTGTATCTTTGACTGCAAACACCCATAAATGCATGCTAGTTGCTGAAACCCAAAATGTACTCACATGATTGTTGGGGGGCACTGACATCAGACTTTGAAACTGTATTGTAAGTAGTTTTGGGGGGCGGTCTGTTGTGACTTTGAATTGTTGCTAAGTGACCAGTCATAAATTGAGGACTACCTGTGCCAGATTTCTTTCCTGTAAAAAACAAAGCAAAATCCTCCCTCAGTAGCCTCCAAATCCATATTTCTCTCTTGAAAAATATCAAAAATATCAATATTCTGCTAGTATCAGAAGAAATAATTCCTGAATGTCCTTATTCAGTATTTTCCAGCTCCTTTGAAGTTAATGTCCACGTTATTGTGGTGCACGTTCTGTTAAAATTCCCTAAATCTAGATATACATAGTTAACAAACATTGACTGTAACAAAATAAAGAAGCTTCCTTGCCTCTCTTTTTTTAGATATCTCAGACAGAGGCTGAAAGTTTAATCCAGGAATAAGTCTGACTCCCTGAAAATCATACCTTTGATCTGTCCCTTTTTTTGGTCAGCCAATTGTTTTCTCCCCAACCTGCCTCCATCCTTACCACCAACAAAAACAAATTCAATAATGGAAATAACAATTGCATTTCCTTTTTGTTTTCAAATTTATGGGAGACCTTTATTATGTTTCTTTTTAATGTTTCTTTTCCCATATTAATATACTTTATGGGAAAGCATAATAAAGATACATAGGGATGAATTCATGGTTTCTATTAGTTCATGCTAATGGAAAGAAAAGTATATTTTCTCCTGGCCCTTGTAGCTCTTTAAAAGAAAAAACTGAGTGAACCTATGAAACAATATAAGAGATGATGGATTGCATGGGAATGGAGTGAAGGTAAATTCCTCTTCATTAATAATGCTCTTTGCTAGATCTCAGTCACTTTCATAAATGCAATTTATACAGAAGAATTAGTCTGGAACAATCCATTTATATTCATCCACAATCTTCTGAAATAGTTATGTATATGTTGATTACCTTTCAAAGTAGCTTAAAAATAGTTTCTCTTGAATAATAGTTAGGAAAACATTACTTTCTACTCTTCAAATTTTTATTTTTTTTCTCAAGAAAACCAGCTTGGTTTAGAACCAAGAGATCTTGATATTTTCCATCAGTTCATGCCAGTATCCAGTTGTAGAAAATAGCCTAATAATAATAATTGTTAGGCTGTTGCTTTTCT